GGGGGGGGGGGGGGGGGGGGGGGCAAGGTTTCAATCGAACGCGTGGAGCATCGGCGGCGGCGATTAAGAAAAAAAAGAAAAAAAGATAAAAAGCGATATCAAGCACCCGCCTGGTACTGTATGTAGCGGGGAAGGGTTCCGCCGCCAGGTTTTCAGCATACAGAATACGCGAAAATGAAACACTGCTGTGTCCGTTTTATGTCGAATGGCGAGAAAAGTGCCGCCCAACTCGACACGACTCCAGCGCCAACCAATCCTCGCAGAAAACAGCAGCACTCCGTACCACCGACGTATCCCTTTGCGTCACAGCTTTCATCTGAGCAGCGACAAGAGAGCTGCTCTGCTATACGTCAAATCTACCTGTTGTTCTGATCTCTTGCTTGCGTCACAACTTTCGCCTGCGCAGCTACAAGAGGGAAGAAGATCTGCTACAGCAGTTAGCGCCCGCGATGAAGAAACAAGACTTACACGGAGGCTCAAATTATTGCGATGAATAAGAAAAATTGACTGACAAAACACACCTCAGCCGTAGATCCTGCTCTCAACTCTACCCGGGGTATATATATTGACCTATGCACGGCGACGGTAGTGACGACAAATGAAACCGGGCCTCGACACCATGTTGACGCTTCTTAAACGCGGGCGCTACCTATGTACCATGTACAGCTACCCGTACATAGCTGTACATGTACCATGTACAGCAGTACCTGTTGGTCAGGCCTCTGAGCAGGGCGCTGAAGGCGTCGAAGTCCTTGTCGCTAAGTTCCTGCGCACCCTTGTCCTGCTCGCGGGCTTTCTCCAGCTCGCGCCCGGTTTGATACTTGTACCTGAAACGTGTTTGTGTGTGCGGGGCGGGCCGGGGGGGGGGGGGGGGGGGGGGGGGGCTTTTTTTAGGGGAGGGGGGGACTCCTTGTTTTTAAACCCCAGGGGTTTAATGAAAAAAAAACCCAAAGGGAAACGGGGGGGTCCCCCCCAAAAAAAAAAAAAAAAAAAAAACTCCTTCAATTTGGTTAACCACCCCCCCTTTTTATTTTTTTGGAAAAATTTTAAACCCCCCCCCGAAACCCCCCTTTTTTTTACCCTTTTTTTTCCCCCAAACCCCCGGGTTTACCCTTTGTTTTAAAAAAAACCCCCCCCCCCAAAAAAATAAAAAAAAATTCCCCCCCCCTTTACTTTTTGGCCGGGGCCCCCTTTTTCCCTTTAATTCCCCCTTGCCCTTCCGGCTCCCCCCCTTCTCCCTTTTCCTGGAAAAAAGCAAACGGTTTTTCCGAAGGAACCCCCCAGGGGCCTTTGGGGGTCTTTTGGAAAGGCGGGGAAACCCAACGGCCCCTCTTTTTCCCCCTCCCAAAAAAAAAACCCGGTTTTTTTTTTTTATAACTAAGTTTTTAAAAGGAAAAGGGTTTTTTTAAAATAAAAACCCCACAGGGGG